CAGTGGTTATCGTTGATTGCCGTGTCATATTAGTATTTTCGTTAACCGTTTTGTCATAAAACCGACGTTGTTTTTTGTTTTTGTTTGAATTGTTACATATTCAATTTGACGTGTCGAGATATTATGACTGACTATACAGTATGGGTTTTGCTCATCGCTAATCTGAAGGTTGTACGGTAACCTTTAGTTGTATAAATCCGCTTTATTTGCACTCTGTTGGAAAGTTGTCAGTCTCAATGTCAATTATAACAGATCTCCTTATTTTATTTTGCGTGCTTTGTATGATTTATATGTACGTATTGCATCCTTTGTATATATTTGGTTGTTTGCATAAATGACGGACCGAAAGCCCAATGTGATCGTATGTTGTACTGATATAAATCTTACCGACTTTAGATAAAGCTTGATGCAACGATTTGATGGATTCCAATTAGTTTTTTTGACAAATTCATATGTTGGGTTGCAGTTGTCCGGACGAATTTGTTTTTTTTTATTTCTAAACATGTGTACTTCACACTTAAAATCATTTTAGATTACAGCATTTTTTAAATAAATATGTAGATCAATAAGAGTAATGCAACTTAACTGAGTACCGAAAGCCTTGTCCTGGCCAGTATCTTGACTCTCGACAGTTACGAAAGTGCTAAACGTTTTTTTTTCACTTCTTGAATGATAGACTTCGGTGGATTGTTCTCTCATTGACCGCATTAATACCACTCCTCCTTATTTCATTTCGACTTCAAACTTAAAAGTTATTTAGATGACAACATTAATCAAAATAGTTTGAGAAACTATATCGACAAAATTTTACTTGTTAGTAGATCTTGCCTTGCTGATCATTTTTATCTATCATAATTTTTATCATGTAAGACAAAAAGCAAAAACAAAAATGGTTAAAATTGCCATTAAAGGGCAATAACTTCAATAAATTGCTTTGCCGAGCGCAGCTGGATACGACCCTGAACAGTTGGGGAAAAAATGGACACAATATTCGCGCTTGATACAGGTCTGAATTTGGATTGTAATTAAATATTTGACACACAATAGGTTTCTGACACAGAATAACTGTAGTCCAAGAACTTAGAATTGGTTATATGATTTGAATTTACATTCAATTTTTTGCTTTTGTGCAACACACTATGCTGTTGCAAATTGACCCCCTCCACCCAAAAAAAAGGTACCCCCCTTTTTTTTTGCTTTTGTGCAATATACGATGCTGTTGCGAATTGATCCCCCCCCCCAAAAAAAAAAAAAAATTGTGTCCGCCTCCCCTCTTTTTTTTGCAAAAAAAAATATTTGAAGAAATTTTCTTTTTAATTTCTGAAATCTGAAATGAGAAAAAATTGCCCCCCCTCACAATTTCTTTTTAACCCCTCCCCCCCCCAATTTTTTTCACCCCCTCCCCCCCACCCTTTTTTCCAAAAAAAAAAAAATTCTTTCCCTCAAGATATGGTGATATCTCAATTCAAATTTCCAATGGAGTTTGCAACCATATTTACCCATTTAAATACATCATAAAAGTCTTAAAATAGAAAATGACATACATAATCATGGCTAAAATTAATATTCCTTTATCAGCATTTTAAATTTTAACTTCTAAAAATAAATTGACAGCTAATCACCTCAAGACAATACAACATTTCTTTATACATAATTTAAAAGCAGTGTAAGGGAGGTAATCCAAACATAATATTGTACTTTTTTTTTAGTTGTCCATTAACCAAGAAACCCTTGTTTTTCCCCCTTTTTTGCCCCTAATTCCTAAACGGTTTGAGCCATAACCCCCAAAGCCAATCCTAACCATCCCTTTGTGGTATAATTTCAGAGAGATCCATACACCGTTCCACAAGTTATTGTCTGGAAACTAGAAAAATGCTTATTTGGGCCCCTAATTCCTAAACTGTTAGGACTATAACCCCCAAAATCAATCCCAACCTTCCTTTTGTGGTTATAAACCTTGTGTATAAATTTCATAGATTTCTATTTACATTTACTAAAGTTATTGTCCGGAAACCAAATGTCTTCGGACGACGACACCGTGATACCAATATACGACCGCAAATTTTTTTGCGGTCGTATAATAAGGAGATGTCTGACTATTTCCTCCATATTGTCTAAATTGTAGATCTTGTCTTGCTGATCATTTTTGCTTATTTAAGTTTCTATCTATCTATTATAATTTTTAAGATATAAGGCAAAAACACAAAAAATTGGTAAAAATCTTCATCAGAGGGCAATACCTCTTATAAAGAGTCAACTGACGCTTTTGACCATGTTGGACTTATTTGCAGATCTTGTCTTGTTGATTATTTTTTGCAATTTAAAGTTTCTCTCTCTATTATAGTTTTCAAGATAATAGGCAAAATGAAGAAAAAAAGTGGGTAAAATTTGTCATTTAAGGGCAATAACCTCCATAAGAAGTCGTCTGACAGTTTTGACGTCCATGAACAATTGGTAGAGCTCAACATTCTGAACATTTTTGCTCCAGTCAGTTTTTCTCTATTTATATTAGTTTTCAAAATAATACTTGCATTTGACCCCTATGTTCTATTTTTAGCCATGTCCGCCATCTTGGTTGGCAGGCGGGGTCATCGGACTAAATGATAATTGTGGCCAAGTTTGGTTAAATCTAGTCCAGTAGTTTCAGAGAAGATTTTTGTAAAGTTTATGGTTGACGACGACGGGTGCCAAGTGATAAGTAAAGCTCACTTGGCCCTTTGGGCCAGGTGAACTAAAAATGTGGGTGAAGCCTAAAATATCAGACAGAGAAACATTCTTTTTAAGATGCTGCTGTTATCCCATAAATGCATCCATACACCAATTAACATGATTGTAGGTCATTTAGTATCAGGGATCTGACCTTGGATGTGAAACTTGATATAAAATAAGCGAGACAAAAAATATATGTCAGAATGATTATTTTTTCATAACATCCTACTAAACTCCCTCGATGCATCCATACGACAAGTTCTATAATTGAAGGTCATTAATAATCAAATACATGACTTTACTATACAACCATGGCATAATTACATGATTTTGAAACTATACAACCATGGCATAATTGTAGTCTTTTACTACCAGTCTGCTCTATATTTTCAGAAGATTTAAAAAAAATTCTTAGCATGCTTAATGAAAAATGATGGATACTAACAGATTCAAACTAATGTAATAGGTTACTTAACGTAAAGACTGCCCTCATACTATTTAGCATTTGTAAGTTACCACAGGCAAAGCTGTCACCTCTATAGGTGGGAAATTCGGGATTTAGCCTTTATTTTTCTGGATTACACCCATTCCTAATACCCCCCTCTCCCATTTAGTGTTGATGACAGATCTTTGGCAGTCAATATTAAATTATGATCTTGTTTACCTTCAAATCATTTAAGGGCATAGGAAATGTCTTTTTTGGCTTATCATATGTTGAGTAAGTGTCTTGTATTCATTGATGTAAATCCCACATATTAATCTCGAGAATCCTAGATCTGAAACTTGGAAGCACTTTACAAACAATTTAATTGAAGAGATAAGAAATTAGAGATTAAAATTATCATGTAAAATTTTCCCAACAAATATAGAAGGAAAGTTAATTTAATCTAAAAAAAAAAATTATCATGTAAGAATTTCCAAACACAAATAGGAAGAAAAGTTAATTTGATCTCAAAAAAAATAATCATGTAAAATTATCCAAACACAAATAGAAGGAATCTCTTTACATATGACTATAAATATAGAATAATACATGGCAAAATCCGTATCGCATGCTGTATCACCACGAGAAACCAATATCAGTCCCGAGGGCCGAAGGTCCCGAGGGCTGATATTGGTCGAGTGGTGAAAATCCAAAATCCGTATCGCATGCTGTATCACCACGAGAAACCAATATCAGTCCCGAGGGCCGAAGGTCCCGAGGGCTGATATTGGTCGAGCGGTGATTCAGCATGCGATACGGATTTTGCCATGTATTATTCTGTTTATCATATATTTTAATAGAATCAGATTCATGAGATATCCCTTTTTTTTTAAATCATCCGAAATTATAAGCTAGAAAAGAACATTATGATTTTCCTGTATTTTCCAGCTGACTTGTTTTTTTTTTTATAGACTTCCTTATTCACTTAATATCCACATCGTAATGTCCCCTATAACCTTATTACATTCTTAATATACGTTAAAGACTATGTATTAAAATGCATCCACTAACGATGCTGTCCTTAGGCTATTATTTCAACTAAAATTAATATTTATCAAAAATAAATATCATAAGTTGTAGAAGTGTTTAAAGTTTTATTGTTTATTTGGCGATGATATTATTCATGATCATTTTAATTTTCTGATGAGGTGAACAGCAAAAAAAATATTTCTTGAAAAGTTTGCTATCTATTCTAACCAAATTAAAATCGTAGAAATTTGCATTTGTGTTTAATCCATCAGGTAATGAAAACAAACTTCACAAAAATTATGACCAAATAAACAATAAAACTTCAGATATTTCTACATCTTATTGTGTCTTTTTTTAATATATAAATCGCTCGTAAAGTTACTGGGTAATAATTTTTGGAAAAATATTAATTTTAGTTGAAATAATAGGACATGTTTTTTTAGTGGAACTCATTTTTTCCTATGCCAGGAAATACAGCAACTGCTGGACGTCATAGGTCAACATTGACGTTATTTGAATTATGACGTCACGCCAGGTATGCGATACGGGGTATGCGATATGGGGTATGCGATACAGGGTAGGTGATACAGACTGGAAAAAAGAACCTTTATTAGATATACAAAATTGCTGTATTTTGTACTAAATATATGATAATATGTGATATACCATCATCTACAGCATATCTGTTGTTGCTAATACCAAATGGGTATATCAGAATGGCCATATTTACCAGTCTCCTTTCCAATTATTTATGGATACTAACCTAACTATTAATATCAGACCCTTACATTGAAGAAAATTGATCTTCAGTTCTGGCTAATAAAAACAAGTCAATATACACTGTGCTGCAATGAACAAATGGTTTATTTATCTAATAACAGTTCTATTTTAAAACAAACCAGTATAAATAATAGAAAACAATTGACTTTAGCACTAAGAGTCATGATGAACAACAAAGGCTTAGTTGTAGATGCATATAAACATTTGTTTCTTATAATACATTTTATCTTACAGAAGACAATAAATAAAGCAAACATAAAACCAGTGCACCAGTACAGCTAAATATGTACAACATTGTAGAATTATTCTGAAATTCATGTACGAATGTAGTACATGTATTATCTAATTACTGATCTGTGGAATTATCACTATGCTTAAACATTTTATATGGCAGATTAAAATCATCCAAAATATATTTATGAACTATGTTAAAAAAGTTATCCTACAGTGTCCTTCGATTAACTGGTTGTGTTTTCATCACACACTAAAGAAAAAAGTTGAAACAATAAGCGAAAGGGGGAGGGAAGTGTGTAAACCAAGTAATCTACTAAAATCATGGGAAAAAATAACTTTCCAAAATTTTTTTTTTATAGCAATAAATATCTTGCCCCCTTTGCGATAAATTTAAATAAAATGCTCCGCAGGGCGCAGCTTGATACGACCGCAGAGGTCGAACCCTGAACAGTTGGGGCAAGTATGGACACAACATTCAAGCTTGATACAGCTCTGAATTTGGATTGTGATTAAATATTTGACACAGCATAGGTTTCTGACACAGAATGAATGTGGTCTAAGAACTTAAAAATTTTAAATTGGACATTCACCTATTATGGTCCAATATCCAAAATCTAAATACATGGTTAGATTCAGCATATCAAAGAACCCCAAGAATTCAATTTTTGATGAAATCAAACAAAGTTTAATTTTGGACCCTTTTGACCTCAATGTGGACAAAGTTGATAACGGGGCCCAAAAATCAAAAATCTAAATACATGGTTAAATTCAGCATATCAAAGAACCCCATATATTCAATTTTTGTTGAAATCAAACAAAGTTTAATTTTGGACCCCGATTTGGACCAACTTGAAAACTGGGCCCATAATAAAAAATCTAAATACATGTTTAGATTCAGCATATCAAAGAACCCTAAAAATTCAATTTTTGTTAAAATCAAACTAAGTTTAATTTTGGACCCTTTGGACCTTAATGTAGACCAATTTGAAAACGGAACCAAAAATTAAGAATCTAAATACACGGTTGGATTCGGCATATCAAAGAACCCCAATAATTCAATTTTTGATGAAATCAAACAAAGTTAAATTTTGGACCCTTTGGACCTCAATGTGGACCAAATTAAAAATGGGGCCCAAAATCCAAAAACTTAATACACGGTTAGATTCAGCATATTAAAGAACCCCAAGAATTCAAGAATAAAACCCCATTGAAATTGATCAAGAAATAAGCAATTTATACGAAGTATCTTCTTTTGCACAATACTGTGCAATTGAATATTTCTTGCTATTGCGCAATACTGTACAATTGACAATTTCTTGCTATTGCGCAATATTGTGCTATTGGATATTTCTTGCTATTGCGCAATACTGTGCAATTGAAGATTTCTTGCTATTGCGCAATACTGTGCAATTGAAGATTTCTTGCTATTGTGCAATAGAAAATTTCTTGCTATTGCACAATACTTATTATATAATAATTTACACATCCTGTTTGGTGTGTATCTCCTACCATATCATTATTATTTGCTTTTAAATATTAATCAGAAATAACCAACTTAAAATGGAAAAATTTAAAAGAAAAAAAAAAGGAAAAAAAGAAAAAAAAAGTAAAAAAAAAATCCCCCCCCCCCAAATTTTTTGAACCCCCTTATGATTCATCACCCCCAAACTCAATCCCAGCCTTCCCTTTGTGGTATGGTACCTTGCAGTACAATTTCAGAGAGATCCATACACTTGAACACAAGTTATTGTCTGGAAACTAGAAAAATGCTTATTTTTGGCCCCCAATTCCTAAACGTTTCGGGCAATTACCCCCAAACTCAATTCCAGCTTTCCCTTTGTGATATGGAACCTTGTAGTACAATTTCAGAAATATCCAAACACTTACACACAAGTTATTGTCATGAAACTAGAAAAATGCTTGTTTTTTGCCCCTTTTTTGGCCCCTAATTCCTAAAATTTTGAGGCAATTACCCCCAAAATCAATTACAGCCTTTCCTTTGTGATATGGAACCTTGTGGTACAATGTCAGAGAGATCCATACACTTACACACAAGTTATTGTCTGGAAGTTACAAAAATGCTTATTTTTGGCCCCTTTTTCCTTAACTGTTGGTACCATAATCCCCAAAATCAATCCCAACCTTCCTTTCGTGGTATTGAACCTTATGGTAAAATTTCATGGAGATCCATTCACTTAAACTAAAGTTAGAGTGCGAAAACCAATGTGTCTTCGGACGACGACGACGACGACGCCAACGTCATACCAATATACGACCAAAAAATTTTTAATTTTTGCGGTCGTATAAAAAGCATTTGAGAGATAACTTGATCTTTATGGAAGTGGACATCACTTACCAAGTTCTTCCAAAGTTAATTTGATCACAAAAAACAAATTAACATCAAATACGGATAATGAAATTATTTCGAATTCAGTGGCTTGGATAAATACATATTGGATAGATGTACATGATGCCATACTTCAAAGGTATATGGGCATATTAAACATCTTAATCTTTGCCCATATAATGAGATTGCAGCAATGTTAATAGGCAAAAAAAAACATTTCCAAGGAACAAAAATTTGGGTATACTTGATCCTACTTTACAAAGGGTAGAACTCCCACAATGGGAGTCGACCAAATAATTTATGTGGTTTTAAAAATATATAAGTTAAAGACACTGGCGATGATGGAAGCAAAAAACTAACGACTATAATTCTCATTGTCACTTACAAAACTATTGTTATCTATCTGAATCAAAATATCTTAAAAATGAATTCTGAATAATCCAAAAACAAAATAAAATCTAGAACTGAATTGTATTAATGTTTAAAATGCTGGATCCTTTTAAATAGTAAGTTAATACTGAACAAGTATTGGCACAATTGTTGGTTAACCAAATGGTTTTGCATTATAAAAGCTTACAACATCATATGATTATTTTCAACAACATTAAAAGACTTATGGTAGATGCTTTATATTCAATAGATATAAGTGAAAAAGCTATGACTAGGACTGGCATAAACTAAATATTAAAGTTCAAATAATTGAACCTAAGCCTAATTACAGGTAGAATGCAAAACTAAACCAAACTTGACAGATAACTCTACATGCTATATCCTTTTTTTTCTTTGGGGAATAAGGGGGGTGGGGACAAAAATGACATACTGTGGATTCATAATTATTTGTGGGATACCCATTTTTGTGGATTTCATGGGTACAGGGGAACCACAAATTTATGTGTTCAACTAATAACAAATTTTCCAGAGAAATGTACGCAAACATTGTTAAAACAACGAAATCAAATATCCACAAAAATGCAAGTATTCGTCAATCCACAAAAATGTGTGCCCCTTGATATAAATCCACAATACATAAATCAGCCGAAATAAAATGAAAGACAGAAGAACTAGTTTTGTGCTGTGACTAAAATGATGCTCTCGGAAACATGGTAATCTTTCATACTTACTGGGAAAAAGGAGAGAAAAGAAAAACATTGCTAATGTCTACCCCGGTAATCAAAACATTTTTCTCTCAGTTCATGGCTTCATAGAGATTCTGTTCAATAAAATACAGCACATTTTACTAAAATGAACAAAGCTTAATCATTTAAATCCATCAAATAATATTTAACATATACTTTTAGTTGTTTAAACATGATTATAAAAAGGTAATTAAACAAAAATCAATCTGTCTATAGTCTCTGATCAATATAGTATACATATATCTATACATCCAGTCACAGTTGCTGTGTACATTAGTAACAGTATATCTAGAGGCAACATAGAGTATGTGTGTGTAATTTGCATATATGATTCCTTAACCTAGTGTTCTGAATTATTTACAATGCAACCTTCTATAGTTTGAAAACCTTTTCACTAAAAACAAAAAAATAAATGGAGAATGTGTCTATGGGACACAGATGATGCCCCCTCTTGCATATAATGTTATAAAGAGGCACAACTCGAGAACGGTAAAAGTGACACCACCCAAATTTCGAACTTGATCCGAGTTTTGCAGTAATAAGCATTGTGTATAAGTTTCATAACATTTGGTTGAGGCAAACTAACATTAGAGAATGGAAACAAATTTTGGGACGTACTTACGCACAGACAAGGGTAACACTTAATGCCCCTTCTGGTGACGGTGGGGGCATAAAAAAAAAGATATAAAAATGTACACAGATTTGTGATAAGTCTTAGGGCACTGATTTCTTATTATTACAAGCAAAATGCCTGATAAATTGGACCAGCTGACATGTATTGATAATAATGAGATGTGGTATGATTGCCAATGAGACAACTGTCCACTGAGTCTAAATGATGTGGATGTAATAAACTATAGGTCATGTACTTCCTTCAATAATGAGCAAAACCCATACTGTATAGTTAGCTGACAAAACCCCAATGACATAACAAAATGTGAAATAATTCAATCAAGAATACCAATGATTAACACAAGAAAGTCTATTTGGGTTCATATTTTCATTGATCCCATAGGACAGCTTCAACTAGCATACAAAGCATGCTGTGTAAACCTTGGTGTCATATTCCTGTGGTTTGTATGCCAGACAAAACTAACACATGAGAGTTCATTCATACTTAACTTTATAGAAAGCTTTATGTAGAAAAAATCAATAAATAATTATGCTTGCTACAAATATTTTTTCCTAATTGTACTAATTCTAAGTCTTGTTTAGTTATAACCCAAATGACCATGACTGTTCAAATCTGGCATGGCACACCATTTAAATAGGGTTGCATAAAACAGGTTAAACTAATTACTTATATCCATAATTTATGTCTTCCTTTCATTAACTACATCTAAAGGTCAAACAAATTCTGTAGGAAAAAAAATCAATCACGCCACTTGGTCTTTACACGAAAACAATTGTAATAAATAGAGGAAATGGTATTCATTTTTCAATTAGGAGACCACTACATCAAAACCAGGTTGGGTACTTTTATTGACTCTGGAAACCCACAGGAAACGATTGCTGAGAAACCAAAACAAACACAATACTTAATTTTATATCTAGGAAACAATTATTAACATAATGCTTAAATATTGTCTTAGTTAATTTTATTATCATCGAATCTTTGTTTTACTTGCAGTTAATTTCATCATCATTGAATCTTTGTTTAACTTGCCTATGAAAATAATAAAAAGCGGTGTGTCTTTCTATCTTGTAATGTTACACTATTGTTTCAGGTAGGGTGAAGGTTGGCACCTATTAAAACGTTTAAACCCGCTGCATTTGTTTGCACCTGTCCTAAGTCAGGAAACTGATGTTCAGTGGTTGTCGTTTGTTGATGTGGTTCATAAGTGTTTCTCGTTTTTTATATAGATTAGACCGTTGGTTTTCCTGTTTGAATGGTTTTACACTAGTCATTTTTGGGGCCCTTTATAGCTTGCTGTTCTGTGTGAGCCAAGGCTCTGTGTTGAAGGTCGTACTTTGACCTATAATGGTTTACTTTTACAAATTGTGATTTGGATGGAGAGTTGTCTCATTGGCACTCATACTACATCTTCTTATATCTATAAATTGTCAGAGTCAATAGAACATTTTTTCAATGAAAACCATGAATGAAAAAAAAAGAACAAACTGATATTCTCTATGGACAAATTGCTGTATTCAAGGAAGGATACTATCTTCTTGTCATTAACAGCCTACACAGTCTAGATTTTTATATGAGAAAATGAAAATATAAACTCTTACTTCTATATTATGCTTTATATGCTTTATTTTGTCATTTCATTCTAACTGATCATTGTTAATCAAAGATTTTAATTTTTGTTTAATGTATTTCTTTTGTTTTATTGTGAATGATTACTATGCTCAGCAATGGGCGCCATAATTGGCTCAATAAAATATCTTGTATCTTGTATATGAAATCTTTGCACTGGAGTACACAGTTTTGCTATTATAATTCCAAACTGATTATAACATATTAAATCTTAATTGAATGAAATATATAGTTTTACACTTTAATTAAGCCGACCTTGCAGCCTCTAATAGATATAGATTTTCCTTTACAATTAATACACACCCATAAAAGGTGAGAAGTCCTTTAAACAATAAGATGATCTGCAAGTGTTATGGAAATATTTACTTCATTTGACTCAGTGAAAATGTCATAAAAAATTGGTAAGCAGACAGGAAGTCACAGGACAAAAAGTTACATATAATAAAATTGTTTGAAAATATTAGAGAAAGTTCTTGAAACAATTTCTTTTTATTACATATATCAAATTTACAGTTTAGGAAATTGTTCATAAGCCTCCAGAAATGAAGATTTATCAAATTTTAATCATGCAATTGATGCAAAGGATATATATCTTGGCACCATGAATCCATTAAGTACCAAGCCACTTTGACAAATTCTTTTCTTAACAATTAATTGATCATCATTGCTTTTTTTTAGAATACATTTTGTTTACAAAGTTGCTTTATATATAATAGTTCAAGAAAAATACAGAAATGTTTTTAAAAATAAGTGGTTTTTTATTAAGATAAAATAATCTCAAAACTGAATTGTGACTTTATGTCTGTGACTTTATGTCCTGTGACTTTCTGTCCTACATTAAAAAAATCTGCCATGAAATGTTTTTATATGACTGGAGCTTTTTTACAGCATCATATTCAATCTCAGATTTCATTTATGTAGAAATAATTTGGCTAAACATTTTTCTCTGTTTCTTACTGTTTGAACTATATAAAATTTTCTGTTTTGACATCTCAAAATTCTGACTTTTTTTCTTGTCTAGAAAGAGATATAATGAAACTTTAAAATCCAAAGACTTTTTAGCATGTTTTTAAAATTTTATGCATGCAGCCCAAGTGTAGGTTGTCAGGTGGAAAGTGTGTCTTTCATGGCAAAGTTTTACAGTTAATTGTTTCAAAATCTGTTATGTTCCACACATTCTTATACACTGGGTATGCCATCATAGTGCTCCCTACTTCACTTCATTCAACAGTTTATTTAAAAGATCTGCTTCTTGATGGTATTTTATATAGTATCTAATATAAACAAATCCCAATACCACTAACTCTGGCTAATTATCTATTAAAGCTCAAAAAAGGAATAAAATCACGACACAGTGATATACAAGTAATTAAAATCCATCTTTGGTCTGCTTACTGGTAAGTGTATACTCCTCTGACAGGAAAATCTGTAAATAAAAGAAGTTAATATCTTAGTGCACATATGTTTTTACAGTGTCTAAAACTGTGTTCAGCATTTGATTTTAGCTTTCAAATAGAAAACCAGACCTTCATCATTTTATGATTGCAAAGGATGAATCATGGGGTTTTGTTTGGAATTGTGTTACTTTATAAATTGACAAGGCACAATATAATTTTCAAATAAAATAATTTTTTCACAATTTATCTCAAGATTTTTCAAACAGGACATTTATTCACATTCAACTCTAGCATTAGTCCAGGCCTAAGACAGACTTCCAGCTGCAAATCCAGGATTTTGAAGAAAAAAAAGGGGCAGACCCCCCCCCCTCTAAAACTTTTCCAAAAGTCAGCCAAATGCTTATATTTTCTGCTTATTCTTATAAGAACTTAAAAGTCAGCATTGTTTGAAATAAAAATAAAAAAAAAGCAATTTAATTCTTATTAAGTTTGGATTGACAGCCAATCATGAAGCTGTTCCATAACTGATCTTCAGATATGTGGAACGTGATATAACACCACATTTAACGACTGGTGAACATATCCTGATTTATGTACATCACAATTTATGGGAATAAATCATAATAGAGAAGGTTCATAGGGAATTATAAGCCTAAAATCAATTAGAACTTGGCAGTATAAAGACTTGTAACTAACAAATAATCATTTGTACTAATTAAGCTGATAATTAAAGGACAAAATATTTCTAAACACGAACATGACAAATCGATAACCAAGCAGCCCTTCCAATGCAGGAGTTAAATTGTGTCTATTGTCTCTGACATGGCTGTTGAGACCTTTCCGTAAATTTTCGTAAGATAAATGCACACAGATGAGCGATTAAATTGTTGAAACAATTACATGGTTGGCAGAATTAATGTTTATCGTGTAAAACTTATGTCCCCCTGTGTAGCGAGCTATTAATAGGTTTTCAATTCAACACAACCACCGAACCTTATAAACAATAGACCATAATTCAAAATGGAAAATTGAATACTTAGATAAATCCTGTAACAATAATTCATGGATCATAACACATAAATAATGTAATACGTTTTAAAAGCAAGGGTTATAATCAGACAAGCTTATTTTTAATTTCTATAAACAAATATAAACATTAATGGTTTACTGATGGTATCGATACATACATGTATGACGTCTTTGCTTTGAAATAGCAATCAATGGTATTGGATATAATGTTAGCTTAAGAGAAACTAAACCATTAAGAGGATTAAATATTGGTATAGATTAGAAATATATATTTTTAATACAACTATACATGTTTAATTCAGCTTTATTTACATGTACCTTGACAATGGCTTTGTGAACTTATAAAATGAGGTGACAATGCAAATGTATTTCTTAATTCAAAATTTAAATTCATTAAGAGGTTTCATGCATCATCAAATAGAAATCTCATATGCGTTAATATGTACACCAAATCACTTTCAAAACAAAAATAAAATATATAAAATCAAACTTTTAAACTAAGTGCAATGTTTCAAAGTTTGTAAGGTTGCTATATTGATATGAGGAAGAAAAGACTACATCTGAACATCTTGAGACATCTGGTATTTACAACAAGGTATGGAGTGAAACAAACTTTAAAAATAAACTAAATATGTACATCAGCTCTAAGTGTCCATACTGATTTCCATAACCTTGAACTGATGTACAAAGTAGTCACAGAATCTCATAGGACCATTTTTCTTCATTGTTCAATTTGTTGTTATCCAAGAAGGACAAGAAACACAAAGACATCTGATTGTCATTAAATGTCAATTATTAAGGTTGACAGTCTGTAACAATGGATAGAAATGTGAAAAATATCATCTACAAGTAGGAATTGATTTTATCAAGAATGATTTCTTAATGAGGAAATGCTATAAAATTGTAGATTTCATGTATCATTTCTTAATGTCCAGTCATATCACACTGATACCTCTATCTCCTTATATGTGATACATAAGGAAGAGCCAGCATTGATAGAAATCATATGTATAGAACATTGTGAAAGAGATCAAGATAAGGGTACATCATTTACATTTGACAGCAAACAAACAAAAAAAGGGATATACAAATTTATAAATAATTTCCACAGTTATTATAGTTAACTAAGATGTGTACACTTTTAATCTGCTGTGTATCCTATTAGATGCATGTTTCTTAATTACATTGTTGGTGTAAATGATCCACCATTATCTAATGTATTAGGATGATGACAGCATCTTTCTCATTTCCAGTCAAATCATCACTGTCTGCTCCAAAAATAATGCTTGGTTATTAACAATCAGATTGCACCTATGTGATGTTAAAAAAATTCTCTAATCCATTAGTTTTAACTTCAGTACTATTTGCCCTTTAAGACAAAAATGATATTGATAAAAATTTGAAGTGGCAGTTAAATGAAAATTGTCAGACATAATTAGAAGGAATCTGTTACACAACTTAATAATACATTATGTATATTATCACATTATTACTCCAAAGAAATTTAATTATCAAATGTCTGGAATGTTAGCCAATCCAAGCTTGAGGACAAATTCACATTTTTTATTCAATAAAAATAACATGGCTATATACATTACTTCTTTGGTTCACATTTATTCTGAAAATGGTCATACACAGAAGCAGGACCAAAATCTGTTAACTATTGAGAGGGAATAATCACATGACAAATATTCAAGCATTGCAATCATTTTGTGTAAATAGTATTTATATATGGACTAAATGGTCTATAAAGATGGTCTAAATGCTCTATATAGATGATCTTAGTGGTTTATAAAAATGGTCTAAATGGTCTACATAGATGGTCTATATAGATGGTCAAAATAGATGCTCTAAATGGTCTAAACAGTCTATATAGATGGTCTAAATGGTCTATATAGATGGTCTAAATAGATGATCTAAGTGGTTTATAAAGATGGTCTAAATGGTCTATAAAGATGGTCTAAATGGTCTATATAGATGGTCTAAATAGATGATCTTAGTGGTTTATAAAGATGGTCTAAATGGTCTATATAGATGATCTAAATGGTCTAAACAGTCTATATAGATGGTCTAAATGGTCTATATAGATGGTCTAAATAGATGATCTTAGTGGTTTATAAAGATGGTCTAAATGGTCTATATAGATGATCTAAATGGTCTAAACAGTCTATATAGATGGTCTAAATGGTCTAAATAGATGATCTTAGTGGTTTATAAAGATTGTCTAAATGGTCTATAAAGATGGTCTAAATGGTCATTATAGATGGTCTAAATAGATGATCTTAGTGGTTTATAAAGATTGTCTAAATGGTCTATAAAGATGGTCTAAATGGTCATTATAGATGGTCTAAATAGATGATCTTAGTGGTTTATAAAGATGGTCTAAATGGTCTAAACAGTCTATATAGATGGTCTAAATGGTCTAAATAGATGATCTTAGTGGTTTATAAAGATGGTCTAAATAGATGATCCTAGTGGTTTATAAAGATGGTCTAAATGGTCTATGTAGATGGTCTAAATGGTCTATATAGATGGTCTAAATGGTCCATATAGATGGTCTAAACGGTCCATATAAATGGTCTAAATAGATGGTCTAAATGGTCTATAAAGATGATCTAAATGGTCTATATAGATGGTCTAAACAGTCTATATGGATGGTCTAAATGGTCCATATAGATGTTCTAAATGGTCCATATAGATGGTCTATATAGATGGACTAAATGGTTTGTATCGATGGTCTAAATGGTCTATATAGATGGTCTAAATGGTCTATAAAGATGGTCTAAATGGTCTTTCAGATGATCTACCCCATCATATAAATGGTCTTAATGGGTATAAAGATGTCTAAATGGTTTATAAGAGAGGCAAAAGATACCAAAGGGACATTCAAACTCATAAGTTTAAAATAAACTGACAACGCCATTGCTACAAAAGAAACAGAAAATCAGACAAACAAAAGTACACAAAACACAACATAGAAAACTAAAGACTGAGCAACACAAACCCCACCAAAAACTGGGGGTGATAAAAATGGTCTAAATAGTCTGTATAGATGGTATAAATGGTCTATATAGATTTGTTTGGTCTATAAAGATGGTGTAAATGGTGTTTATACTACTGGGGTAGGTCTAAATGGTTTATAAAGATATTCTATATAGAAAGTCTAAATGGTCCATATATATATGGTGTAAATGGTCTGTTAAGATGGTAGGGCCTTGGTTGATGAGTGATCTAAGTAGTTCATCTACAGCAATCCCTAACCAGTCAACACTGAAAGTGTGAGTTCGAAACCAAAGCTCATGGGAGGTGTGTATAAATTCAACATTAATTGACAATGATTGTCAGTTTCCTGCCATAAGGTTGAAGTTCTCTCCGACTTCCTCCACCAATACAAATTGGCTGTCACAATAAGGCCAATAGCGCTTGTTGTAAATTATTTTCTTTTATCATATTTTCTTATATATTATTGGTAAACGTCTTAACGTCATTAAGTACGATAATTACATAACAGTATATTCAACGTCTGATGATATTGTGATCTTATGTTGTTTAGATAAAGATTTCTTTATTTGAAGACGTTCTTCAATATCGCATTAGAATATATTTCATAGTGCACAAAATGGTGATCAACACCAACAATCAATCAATCAATCTGTAAAGATGGTCTTGATGGATTATAAAGAAGAATTAATGATCGATAAAGATGTCTACATGGTCTACATAGATTCATATAAGAAATATTTTTACTGCTAGTTGCAGTGACCAAAACTTTTTGGTTATCATCTTGTTAAACTTAATTTTGTAACTCAGAAGTACACAGCCACATTGCGTCCTATAATCCAATAATATTTCTACATACCGGTAGTTTGGCCAAAATTTTAAAGTTAGGGTTTTTTGCTTGTGAGAGAGCTGTCTACATATTCCTATTTATCAATGTTCTCTTTCTGGTCTCTTCTGAAGAGTTGTTTCATTGGCAATCATACCACATCTTCTTATTTTT